CTGTGAACATGCAATTTTCATTTTACACCTAATAACAGCCACTTCTCACCTCATTGACTATTGAAAGTTGAGCTAAAGTTGATATCATTCTTCTGTTTCTGCTCTGAATCTAGTTTTGATCACTGTCCCATGCCTGTAAAAAGCATTACAATCGTCTTTTGTTACTGATACCATTATTAGAAACTGACTTACTGCACCCAGCTATAAGTGGTTTTGCTGAGTTGAAACACCAACACACATAGGGGTTATGTAGTATCTGTTAAATTTCAGTCTTGGTGATGATAGGATGCCTTATACAAGCACACATTCAGTGACCTTATTGTGTTCCTCTCCCTGTCTTGTGCGTCCAGGGTCTCATGAAGCTCCAGTCAGCCAGGGCGGAGACCAACGTCTGCTCCAGACACAACAGCAGGCCTCTCGAAGTGGGCAGCCTCTGCATCCTGCTCCCATGGGTTTCCAGGGTCCTCCCGTCAGTCCAAATGGGGCTCTGGCCCCAAACCAGGGCTTAGCACTGTCTGCACAGAGTGGTCAGGCACAGCACACACACCTGCACCCCCATCACCACCTGCAGAGCACGACCCCTCAACCTACCCAGGTGTCCAACCCATGGGCTCCTTTGCCTACCACCTCCCACCGGCTCTCCTCGCCTCCTCTTACCCCACAGAAAGTGCCTCATGTACAGGTGAGTCTCTGTCAACAAGTACTTTGATGTGGTAGCGGCAATGTGTGAGACACAGAAATCAAGACTATGTACGTTTGTTTTCATGTGTGGGTGTATTTCATGTGAAATTTTTTTTTTTTTTTTTTTTTTTTTTTTTTTGGATGGGGGGGGTTGTGTGTTTGGAGTGTAAGGGGTGTGTGTACATGACATTTGAGAACACAGCGGTACATTGGGCACCCGTTCAATGGGGTTTTGTGTGGTTTTGTTCATATGTGTGTGTTTTTGCCTTTTGTCTTCTACTGTTGGCCTTGTATGTGGTTGTGTTTCCGTGTGTGGGGAAATGGATTTTTGCAGCTGTTTGTTTCCTGTGAGCTGCATATCCTGAGACACGTGTGCAATACACACACACACACACAAAGGCGCCACCAGCATAATCTTTCCTCCCTCTTACACCCACATCTACTCCTCCTGTAGAGGAAACCTCCCTTCCTGTCTCTCCCTCCTCCCTGTCGCCTCTCTTTCCGCTCTGTTGGTCTGTCTGTGTGTCTTACCCATTGGGGTGTCATCTCTTAGTTAATGTTGTGTGGCTGGATGTGCACAGACATGGACAGTTGGGGGGGGCGGTGATTAAGCGATTGTAGAGGGAAAAACACTGAGTAAAAAAAAAAAAGGGGGGGGGTAGCAAAAATCTCGAGAGGGAGACTGGGATCTCTAGGAAAGGAGACAAGGAAAGGAGGCCTGGTGGGAAGAAGCCAGTGGCCACCATGTTTATGTGTGTGAGTGTGTGCACCACCACTGCCTGCTTCACTTGCCCTCAGCTTCCATTAGCTTGTTTTGTTGCTCAAAGCTCCCTTTCTCCACTAACCCATTCACCCGCAATAGCAGCCCTGTGGCCACACACAGATCCAGCCCCCTTTTTGCTTTCATTTCCATCAACACTACTCTGCTTGCTTACTACTCCCCCACACCACCTCCATGCCAGCATTGATGTCTTTTGTGGTTGACATTTCAGCCGTCACACTTAATTTATTCAGCACTCCTGACCTAGATGCCAGGTTGACTGGCATCATGGCTGCATGTGCCATCCTACATTTAGCTGCAGGCCCAGCAGCCCCCATCATTACGCGCACACACACACAAGCACATGCCGACAGTGTGGCTTGGGATAGTGTGGTCTGGAATGGGATGGCAAGTGTGCCTGAGGAAATAGGATAGCCTTACTAGAGGAGCACTCACTGGTGTGTGTGTGTGTGTGTGTGTGTGGCTCTCGCACAGGCATGGAGCTCTCTCTGTGCCCCATGATGCATTTGTTAGAAAGACACACACACTATTCAGTCATGATGACTGTATGTCTGGTACTCTAAGCTCCGTCTGTTCACTAAGCATGGTTATTACACATGCACGCACGCACACACACACGATCCTTCGTCAGCAGCTCAAGGTCACAGCTCTGGCAGAGTGCTGTGCTGTGACCTTTATTCTACATCTCTCTCTCTCTCTCTCTCTCTCTCTCTCTCTCTCTCTCTCTCTCTCTCATGGGCGTGCGCACACACTGTTTCGTGCAGCACTCTAGTTGACACATAACATGCCTGTGTCACCCCTCCCCCGCTCATGCACTCTGTCAGTGAGCTGCTATACCATCATCTCACCAAGGCAGTGTAGCTTCAAGGGAATGTTCCTGATACTTAAACGTTGTCTGCTTGTTTGCAGAGTTCAAAATATTAAAAATGTCTGTCACCGGTTAACAGGATGCTTTTTAAAAAAAAATGTAGTTCATCATAAATTCATGCTAGGTGTGTGCAATAATAATGTTTCAAATCAGTGTCCTAAACACATTCAACAACCTAGTGCAACATATTTTTCCTCCCCGTCTCTGTTTTTGTAGCCCAGTGGAGCTACAGCATTTGAGATAACAGTTGGATAGAAATGTATGTGGACATGCATTATACAGTGGACATCTAATAGCAAATCACCTATGGAATGCCACAGCAGATCAGTTCAGCTGCATCCTTGATCTGAGAGATGATGAGCTAATCGGCCTTTTGAGGGCAGATAACGGGAGCATGGGTGGTCTCCTTGCAGAGCTAGTTTGCAGTAAGATGATTCATCTTGGTTTTAGTGGTTGAGTGAATTGCAGGGGTTTGAGTGACTTGCTTGAATTTTTGATGTTTATGAGTGAGATATTAGCTCTTAATATGTACATGAGGTATATGGCCCCCATTCACATTTTCAAAGAAATATCAGAAAATGGTATTCCCTGTTGCGCCTGTCAGTTTATAGCTTATTGGCCTTCACACAGACTGTGATAGAAAGCTTCATTTTCTTTTACAGTCAGGGAAAAAATTATTTGAACCCCAGCTGATTTTGTAAGTTTGCCCGATAACAAAGAAATGATCAGTCTACAATTTCAATGATAGGTTTATGTGAACAGTGAGAGACACAACAATAACAAAAAAACAGAAAAATGCATTACAAAAAAAGTTATAAAGTAATTTGTATTTTCATGAATGAAATAACCATTTGATCCCTTTGCAAAACGTGCTTTAGTACTTGGTGGCACAACCTTTGTTGGCAATCACAGAGGTCAGACGTTTCTTGTAGTTGGC